GTGGTGGTGAAAAGGAGGCCCAATCTACCCCCACCCCCCTTACAAAAAAATCCCCCACTTTCTCACGTGCTTGACCCGGCACTCAGTTCAGATCCGGGTCACGCATAACATCCTCCTTCCAAGATGGGGTCACCGGTAAAACCAGATATAAGACAAGAAAGTTAAGTGATTATGCGAATATAAAGTGCGTTATACCACCGTCCGTTCAGGTCATTTGTTCCCTTTTCAGCCGTTTTTAAAGCAAGAAGATAAGACCCAAGAAAGAAGGGGTATCTTGGTTTTGTTAAAAGATTTTAGAAATAATTAGTTTTTAACCCCCCCCCCCCAAAAAAAAGAAAAAAAGCAACCAAAAAAACCCCCAACCTTTTCACCTGCGTCACTGGTGTAGCGGCTACAGATCTAGGCACTTTGCTGTCGCACGCAGAAGAACAACGTTTGATTTCCCCCGAGTGAGGAGACATTTTTATCAAATATCTCGGTCTTCAAGCTTGGATGTTGCATTCCTCTCAGCCCGGCGGGTTGACCCTGGCAGAGAAGGTCGGACCCTTGCCTCCTGTGTGATCTAAACTGTGTCGAAGGTGGTGTAAAAACACAGACCTATATTAAAATATACCAAAGTATGAAAGAATGCATGGTGGTGTCAGCTTCTGAGCCGGACATGACACTTCCAGGAAAAGCGTAATCAATAAATCTGCTTTGATCTCGTCTGTAACGAAACAAACGTAACTTGCGCAATCCCTTCAATTTTTTATTTAGAGGGTATTTTGGATCGTAACAAGTACATTTCAGTTATCGTTTTATGTTATTAAAATGACAGCACACAATTACTCTGTTCTTTGACCGTCTCGCTCTCTCAACCCACAGAGATTCGACCCATGCCCTACTTCCATCTGGCCAGGCAGCCTACCCCCTTCAGGGAGCGTCGGGGCACCCTCCCCCGGGTGGACCTGTCCCTGGGTACTCATCTCCCGGGCAGCCAGCAGCAGGTAATACGGAGGCCCATTCATTGGGGATGGGATCAGGTCGGGTCGGGTCGGGTCGGGGGTGATAGCCCCTTTCGTCGCCTGAAAACAAACTCGTTTGTTTTTGAGTCGACTAATCGGGCGCGATCGGCTTATGCCACGATAGCCGCTTTGCGCCCTCAACCTGGCTAGCAAACCGTCCCGACAAGACACAGTCCTCCAACGGGCACCTCGTATTAAGGTCCACTTTATGGTAAAAAGTAGTAACATTATCCAATCCAAGATATCTAAGCTCAACGAAATGTACCCGTGTTTTAAAGGGAAGGGTGTGTGTGTGTGTGTGTGTGTG